GTTTTCTCTTTTAGGATAACCATTATTAGGCAAAACATAGAATAAAGAATAAAAGTTACCTATAGCTTTCCCATCAGCTTTTTGACTTTTTTTAGAAATGCAAAGGGGAGCATGCTGATGCATGTGTAATCCTAGCACCTAGAAGCCTGAGACAGAAGATTGCTGCAAGTTTGAGACCAGCCTGGGCTACATAGTCAGCTCAAGCCAGGCTTGGACTACAAAGGGAGATCTTGTCTCAAAAAACAAGCAAACAAAAGAAGAAATACAAAATTAGGATGAGTTCTATTATAAAATTCTTTTTTGAGGCCACTTGTCTTTTTTGTGTTTTTGACCCCCCCCACTTATGCAATATAAGGACTGGAGATTTAAGTATTGATGTGAACAAAATGTCAGTGAAGAAAGTACTCTTCTGTCTTTTTGCAAGCATAAATTGAAAAAGCTGAAATTATAAATTTTTATTTTTTTCCTTTGGAAGGACTGAAAATTGCTTCTATTTATAGAATATCACAGAAAATTCAGAAGACATAAAAATAAAATTATCTCATTACTGCTTGCTTCTGTTGTTTTTCATTGAACCTATACATAGGTATTAAGGTGTCTTTAAGGTTTTAACTAACTGAAGGAGGTGAGTTATAATTAAAAAGATTAGGGAGAATTATCTAAGAGGTAAGAAAAACTTTTTAAAAAATGTAGTAAGATTTTGTTTCTGGGGTCAACTGACATATTTGAGTCTCTTTTGTTTTGCTTCCAGCAGATACACCAAAATTGGGATGATAGTCACTTTTATATGTTCATCAACTGATTCTAACTGTTGAGGAGTGGTCATTATATGTATTTTAATCATTATTTTCTGCTTTAGCTCTGCAAAATAGTTTTAGTGATCATGACTGAAAATTTTAGTGTATAAACAAAACAATGACTAGAAGGGATTATAACTTGAAAGCCCTGTTTACTTATGGAAAATCTGCTTGCATGTATTTTATCCTCTTAGCAGTTTTCAAGGCAAAATTGGCCTGGCAGGGTTGTCCTTGCAAATTTGTTGAATTCCCATCAGAAGACTCTCTACTAGGCATTTCGTTGGAGCATGGGATTGAAACTCAGGATTGAAACTAGATCACACTCATATTAATGTTACATTTTGCAGTGACTGGTGTAAGATTGTCTAATCAGTGTCAGTAAAAGCTTAAAGGGAAGTATAGTCTGAATGAAATTTATTTTTTATTTTGAGTCAGTTTGGACTTGAAAATGTAGGAATGTGGTTAATATTTTGCTAGAAGTACTTCCTGACTTTTATTCCTCCACAAACTTTCAAAAAATTAAAAAGGAAACTTGATGTAATTAGTTTTTAAATTTGTAATGTAATCATAGCAAATTGTGCTGCATTTTACTTTGCACCTTTTGAAGTTTTGGGGAGGGGTGTTTTGTGTTTTTGCCTAAATCTTAGGAGAAATTTGGAAGTAAAGAGTTGATAATGATTTAATCTGCAAGTTCAGAGGGAGGATTTTAGAAAAATTGATATTGGAAAGGGTAAAATTTTGGTTTCTGGTTCCTTTTTTTTAGCCTTATGCAATAAATTCTAATGACACTAGAAAAATTCATTAAAGGAGAGAATCATGTTTTTTAATTCAAGTGGAAAAGTTATAATATATACATTTTGAAGTATAAAGTTATAACATTGTAAAGAAGATGCCTTTTGGATTCAGAAAAGGCTTAATGACTTATTTAAATTTTTATATTAGGAATTTCAAGATTGTCTCACATGTTATCTCCATATTAGACTAGAAAAAATATTAAACATTTTCAGTGTCCTGTTGACCTTCTAAGTTAATTAAGTTAATTTTAAGCTGGTGTTTAGTTGATAATTTAAGTGTAAAACACATGCATGATATGTTATTTTCATATTAAAAAATAACATTTTGTGTTACTTAGCACTCCAGAGGCTGATGCACAAGGATGGCAAGTTGAGCATAGCTAAATTTAATGATTTAGCAACACAGTTTTTCTCAATAAAAATAAAAAAGGGCTGGGGATGTAGCTCAGTGAAAGGAAAAAATAATGTAGTAATAGTGGTCTTGTGTGATCTTACCTTTTGCGTAGTTTACTATTTTTAAGATTCATCAATTTTAAAAGTGATGAATGGTATTTCATTCCTTTTTACAGTCAAGTAATATTACAACAAGTGGGTATGTCACATTTTTGCAGTCTTTAGACTATCATGAGTGATGTTGCTATAAACACACTTTTCTTTGTGGGCATACTTTTTTTTTTGAGCACCAGGAATCAAACTCATGATCTTGCGTTTGCCAGGCAGGTGCTTACGCCAGTGAGTTATATCCCCGGCCCTCCGTTATATATTTTCTTAGCTCACATGTTGATCAGATTAATGAGTAAGCTGCTGAAAATGCCTGTTACTGATGAGTGACTCTTAAAACCAACCCATTTGGGTTTGTAGATATGTATATGTATGTATTTAATATACTGTCATCACTCATCAAGACTATAGTAAGTTTTCGAGATGATGCATAAAATCTTGGTTATTTGAAGTTTTATTTTCTTTAAATTTTTAAATTTTTTTGGTACTGGGGTTCAAACTGATGATCTTGTGTTGCCATGCAGGCTCTCATATTGCTGAGCTAAATCCCTGGCCTGAAATTTTATTTTATTTTTTAAAGATATATATATATATATATATATATATGCGCCAAGCATATCATGTTAGGGTACGTGTGTATATGCATGTATATATCTCATTTGAAGTATTTAAATTTTTTACTTAGGAAACGTCAAAGAAAAAGTTTCTGATTAATGGTAATAATGTTGTGAAATTATATTAAGGGAAATGGTGCCTGGATTCTGACTCACTGCATTTTTTTTTTTTTTTACCTAAGTTAATGAATTTAGAAATAAAAAGCAGTGGCAAATGGATGTGTAATCATACAAGGTTGTTTATATGTAGTCATTTGTGCTTCCTGAGTAGCTACCCTCTGCATCACAATCCCTAGATGAGTTTTCCTTTTCCTTTCCAATGAGAATTTAAGGAATGAAGTATCTAATACTCTTTTCTGAGGTATATTACTGTTACTATATTAATATTATACTTTTTAGTAAATAAATGAACCTCATTCTCCCTAGGATTTCTAAGTAACATGTTAATTAGATATCCAAATTTCAAAATAGCTTACTCTTTCAAGGGCTTCTTAATTAGAAGATAAATTCAGAATGTACTTTAATCTTTTTTTTGTTTTTAATTTTTGTGCTAGAGATTGAACCTGGGGCCTTGTACATGGTAAGCAGATACTGTACAACTAAGTCACATTGCCGCCTCAACCTTTTCTTGATCATTTAATGTTTATAGTATTTCAAATACTCCGGATCTTGTTATCCTGCTTATTATATGGCCTCCAAGTTTTTGTCTTTTTAGAGTTGTGAACCTAGTGAATATGACTTCTAATACTTTCTGTGCTTGTTTGTAGTAGTCTTTCACTTTTCCCCTCTTCTCATTTGTATTTTATTTTGTTTTTTGTGTTGTTCTAGGGATTGCACCCAAGTTCTTACACTTGGTAGACTTGTACTCTACCAGTAAGCTACACCCTTAAGCCACCCTTTTACATGTTCATAATGCATGTTGGTAACCCAGGTAACCCTACTTTGTTAGAATTGTGTGCAAATGCAGAGCTGGCTGACTTATACTCTGAGTACTTTAGGAGGCTTAGGCAGGAGAATTGCTATACTTGTTTTTTTGGCTGAAATTTTATTTATAAATTTGCCTGTTACATTTGTTATTGTAAATAAATTATAATTTTTTCCTCAAAGACTATTCTGGAATACAGTTGCTTGAAAAACTCAGCATAAGCAAAAACTAAAGTGAGACAATAAATTTTTCTTTATCTTCAAAAGTTACAGAAGGCCAGTGGAAATGTTTGGATTCTTAAGAGATTGTGACTTTATATTACAGTCTTATTGAAGTAGGAATTAAGTAGGGTGTTCAAATGATACTGTTTATGTTGCTTAATTACAAACATGTCATTTTAATTTGTTGTATGTGTGAAGAAGTAACAGTACTTACATGTTAAATTGGTGAGTTTGTTAGACACCCACATAATGGGAACTTCCTTTGTTGTTTGGTTTTGGTGAACTGTTGGAAAAGGTATAACGTTTGCTTTTGTATTGATTTTCTTTCTAACATGCATTCACTTCTTCTTTTTTTTCGGGGGGCAGCGTACGAGGGGTCAAACTCATGACCTTACCGGGCAGATGTTTGTGCCACTGAGCTATGTCCTTGGCCCTCATTATTTTCACTGAAGAAAGATAAAAGCTAAGCCATAAAGAGAGTTGTTAAACATAATTCTTTTATTTCCTTGATTATATTGACATCTCTAATGTTTTGTTATGGTTTACTGATTTAAAATTTGTAGGATTAAATAGCTCAAAAATTTCCTAGGCTTGTAGTGATCAGATTTTATTAATTCCTCATTAGTTGAATAGTCAGTAAGTACATAACATTTTTTCTTCTTTTCTTAAAATTTTATCTACAAGTTAAATTTACAGGAAGGCTTAAAATAAGAATTACAAAGTGTTTTGTGCTGTTCAATGCTTATATAATGAGTAGTATGCTGTCTTGACTCAAAAATTAAGATTTAACTATTTCAGAGGACAAACTAATTTAAATAATCAAGAGTCCTTTAATGTGCATAAAAGACATTGGAGTTGGATTTCAGTATGTATTTTAACAGGTCCCTGTTTATCTTTTCTAAATTATGCTGTGTGTTAGTCCTTAAAATTTTGGACTTAATTTCTTTAATAGTACTATTATACACAAGTTGTCTTAAACCATGTAGAATTGCTTTGATGCAGTTTAAAATCATAGGACAGATAACAATGGTTATGGAAAAACAACTTACCAGAGCATAAAAATTGAAAAATAATTAGATATAGAATTTTTGTATTAAGTCATTTTTATCTGTTTTTTGTTAAACTCTTTTTTTTTTTTTTATTTTTAGGGAGAAAAAAATAGTGGCTTTGATGTTCTCTACCATAATATGAAACATGGACAGATATCAACAAAAGAACTAGCGGATTTTGTAAGAGAAAGGTATGAAATATGTATGTTACTTATTTAACAGTTTATTGTTAAAAATTAAAACATTTTAGTTGGATTTGGAATAAGTAAAGCACTTTTAAAAAGCACTTTGTAATTATATATTAAAGTAGTTTTTAAAAAATCATCTGTGCACATGAAGCCTGCATAATGGCTCAAAGTGATATTGTTAAATTCCGACTTAGAAATTACTGATTGACAGTATTATTTACCTATTTTTTATTGCGTGTGCTAGAGTGATGCAGGAAAAAGTTGAGCAATATTGTAGGATAAAATATTACCATTTCTTTAAATAAATGTTAAAATAATTTGAAAAGATTATTTTCTGAGCTGGATATGGTGGCTTGTAATCCTAGCACTGAGGAAGGCTGAGACAGAATGATTGAAAATTCAAGTCCTGCCTCTGTGATTTAGCAAGACCTCGTCTCAAAATAAAAATATAAAAAGGAATGGGACTATAGCTCAGTGGTAGAACACCTCTGGGTTTGGTTCACCATATCCCCCTACTGTGCCATTTTCTGAATTCATAGTTTAATTATATTATCAAAACTTTTATTGAAGAGTCTTAACTATATATTTTAAAATTTATAAAATGTGATTGTCTCAAGTGTCTTAGAATATTAGTCAATTTGAAAACTAAGTTGCTATAATACTGTGAAAAAACTTCCATTTTTGAAAAGTTATTTTAAGATATACATTTATATATCTTTTATTGTATATATTTAACTTTTTCTTAGGAACATTTCAAACAAATAGGAAATGTATTAATTAGTAAATAATGAAGTATAATAACAATTTTAGCATTTTTAGTATTTTATCAGGTTATATATTTTGAAATAACTAAGGACTTAAATAATTACATTATTATTTAACAAAATTAATAATTTAAAACTATTTTCTCATAATTGAGCCACTTAATTTGTTCATAATGTAATTTATTCTGTATTTTTAGTATTTTCATATGACCATTAGTAAGGTTTTTTTTTTTAGAAATTTTTAATTATTATTTAAAGAAACACAAAAAAACCAGAAAGTGGGCAGAAATAGTACATACTTTCAAAGAAAAGAAATAAACAGTAATAAATCACTAGTTTCATGTATACATATTGTCCCCTCACAAATAGTTGTTCAAGATACAAAAGTGGAACATATAAATGGGAATTCAACTAGGAAGACTGCAAACAGTTCTGTTCAACTATCCAACAAAAACTAAGTAATATGGCTATCAATCCTATACACTTAGACATGTACGCATTTATCCATACCTTCATTTATGTTGAGACCTAACAAAACTTATTAGATTAAAATCCTTCCGAACAAAGATTATTAATGTTACTGGATTTCACATCATAACACTCCAGAATCAGCACTGGGTACTGCAGTGCCCCTTTCTTTCCTTCAGAATATTTGTTCATTTCATCATGTGTCATAAGATCAGTTCTCATAAACTGTTTATAGGTTTTATGCAGGCATGAGTCTTAACATGTATTTCTATTCTTTCTATATTAGAGGGAGAAACAGAACAAAGCAGGCCAGAACTAAACATATTCCTGTAGACACATAAAACTAAAAAGACATATAAAACTGCTGTATAAGGAGTTTTACCATGGTCACTGTGCTGTTTCTCGTTATCATCAACAGAATTGGCTGTATCATTAGATAAAGTATAATTGAATATATCGGTACATAGCAGAATTAATAGAAATACAACTTTGTGTAGAGCTACAAAAACAGGTAGTAATCAACTCAGAATGGGTATCGTAAGTGAATCATTGTCATTTTAGGCTGGGGATTTAACTCAGTGGCATAAGCGCCTGCCTTGCAAGCACGCAGTCGTGAGTTTGATCCCTGGTGCCGATTAAAAAAAAAAATCATTGTTGTTTTCAGTATAGTTGTCTATACTCCTCAACTTGATACCAGCAACCTAACAGTTTTGAATAAAATCTGTCAATAATAAGCAGCAATCAGACAAGTCAGATTTAACTAAGATCAGTCATAATACAGCAGTATAAGTCATACAGGGATCCTAATTGAGTTAACAGGAAATTAAGGATGACCACTGTGCTATGTCCTGATATCTTTCGGGACAGTTGTCTGTACCCTCAGATCCAGTGCTTGTATACAAACTAGGATGGAACAAGTTCGATCCAAGCAGAGTGGTGTGAGTAATAAAGGTTTTCATTCCTGATACACTATTAGCTATATCTTCTGCTGTCTTTTTTTAAAGACTTTTCCTCCTCTTTCACTCCCCCAGGATGAACTCTGTATTTTTGGGTCTCCCCAGCACTCATGGTTTTATATTGTGGGGGCAACCTGCAATTTACCTCTTACCGAATTTTCTCACTCCTGGACTGGATTTCTAGTTATATTTCTTCATTTATTAAAGCCTGTCTGATCAACCTATCCATAAATACTGGTCCAGTTAACCCCTGTTACTCCCTGGTTCCCTATCACATCGAGTTCCGTTTTCTCATATTTGATTTTGGTCCACATAACCTTCTTTAGGTTAATTATATTTCCTATAGCCTCTTGGACCCTACCTCTTGATCCACTCTGCCTATGATTCTCTCTTTTTTCCCTTAAGTTAGTGTATCTAGGCCATCCATATTAGAAATTATATACAACCTTGTCTGCCTCATTTCTGTTGTGCTCTTTTTCCGTCTTTAGTTGTCTGTTTGTCTTCTTCATTTTGCTTTTTGTTCCATTCTTTCGGGCTTCTCTGCCATTGTTCCTGAAATCTTTGTACTTTTCTCTTTTTTTTTAGAATGTCCTGTAGTATTCTCTGTAGAGTTAGATTGGTGGTTGTGAATTCCCCCAGTTCCTCTTTATCTTGGAAGCACCTTGTTTCTCCATTAATTCCTAGGGACAATTGTGCAGGATATATCAATGTTGGAGGTTATTGTCTTTCAAGGCTTGGATTATTTTGCCCCACGCTCTTTGAGATTTGATGGTTTGTGCCGAGAAGTTTGTTGTAATTCTGATGGATTTTCCCTTGTAAGTGATCTGTTTCTTGTCTCTGACAGCTTTTAATTTTCTGTTCTTATATTGGATTTCTGGAATGTTGATTATTAGTGTAGGTGTAGTTCTGTTTTGATTGTAGGTGGTTAGAGTTCTGTACGCCTCATACATCTGAACATCTTTTCCTTTTCATGTTTGGGACGTTTTCCTTAATTATTTCTGTAAATAGCCTTTGTAGCTCCTTTGTTTGTACCCCTGCTTCTTCATTCACATTCTTTATTCTTAAGTTATAGATCCTCTAGTCATCTTCTAGCCTTTGTATTGTTACTGCTTGTTTCCTTGTTATTTTTAAGAAGTTTTTCCTTTCATGTTCCCACATTACAAACCTATCCTCCAGTTCAGATAATCTTGTTGGTTTCTTTCAAGCTGTTATCATTAGTTTCTTTCAAGCTTTTATGCCAGCTTTCAATAGAGTTTTTAGTTTCCTGGTAATCTCTTTGAACCTGCTTCATGTATTCTATGTTTTCTCTATTTTCTCCATCAAACAATTCTCCCCCCCCTTTTTTTTGTTCTTCCATTCTGTCATCTGTTTTTTCTCAGGAGGTACTTAGCATTTCTTTAATTATTCTATTTATATCTTGCTTTACTTGGTTAAATACTTCACTTTTGAACTCTTCTATGAGGTCCTGAAGATACCGCTTTATGTCTGTGGTGCCATGCCTGATATTGCATGTTTTCTTTCCTCATTCTTCTTTGCATTTACCTTTCCTGGATCAGTGTTCTCAGGATTGGGGACTGAGGACCCTTTCTTGTTGCCTCCTTTTCTCATATGTTCCTTCCATACAGGCGTATATAGGAGGCCCAGTTTCTTTCTTTGTCAGTTTCAGTTTGACTGAAGCACACTGACTAGGTGGTCCTGCCCACTGCAGTGTATTAGGAGGTACTTACCGGGGCAGCCTATGATGGGCCCACCCCTCCAGCTCAACCTACTGAAGGCTTCACTGCGTTAGGGTGCACTGTGTGGCATAGGGACTTAGATAGGGCTAGCCTATTGGGCCCCAGTCTGTGGCATCACCCAGGTCAAGTGCTCTCCACCAGTGCCACTTGAGAAGGGAATATCTGCCTGAAGTCACTGCAGCGCTTTGTTCTGGCCAGTCTGCTCTGTCCCAGAATGTTGTCTGTTGGAGCCTCTTTATCTGTGGAAGGGTTTTTATTCCCCTTACTCACCGCCGGTCAGTGCAGGGTTCCCTACCAGCTCTGCTCTCAATTCGGTTCGCCAATTCCGGCTCTCACAGCGTTCTCGTCTCCAGTAAGTTGAAGTAGCAGGCTATCCGGCTGTGCCAATTCAGGCGCGGCAGCGGTAGGGTATTCAAGCCGCAAGTTAGCGGTGGCACCGAGACTTTAGCTGTTTCAGTCATAGGACCGGGACTGTATTTTTAATTGGTTTCTCTCAACTTAGTTGGTTCCTGGGTCGACAGGGTGTATCTCCCTCTGTTTGGGACTTCCTATGCTGTATTATTTTTGGAATGTTAAGTTGGCTATCTCAGAGAGCCTCCGTAGCTGCTGTTGTCTGTCCGTCATCTTTTCTCTGTCCATTAGCAAGGTTTATTAAAATTACTTTTTCTCTATCTTGGGTAATTTATTTTTAAAACATCTTTTTAATTTCTAGTTCATGTGGATTTTTGGTGATAAATTCTCAATTTTTGTTAGTCTAATGATATCTTTAATTTATATTCATTTAAAATATTTTTTAATGGGCACAATTTCAAAAATAAAACCTATGCAAAAATTATGATCTTAGTATAACGAACTTTTATGAGCAGCTTCAACAGTTAGCAGATCACTTATTCCGTCTAGTTCTTTTGCTGGGGATCAAACTCATTACCGTGCACTTGCAAGACAGGTTCTTATGCTGCTGAGTTAAATCCTCAGCCCATTCCGTCCAATTCTTGACATCATTACAAAGCTAGTATCAGTTCAGAAAAATTTCACTTTGTTTATTAGTATTTTGGATTATCTGTAGGAGATAAAGGATTTAAAAATAGCTACATTATATTATCCCAGTTAATGATGCAATATTAATTTTTTAATATCACCAAGTATAATCAATGCTCATTTTGCGTCAGGTGCTTGTACACACACTTGTAATTGATTTCTTACTATCAGGATCTTAGCAAGATCTCTACTTTATACCCGCTAACTTGTTTGTATCTCTTAATCTCCAACACCCTTATCTTTTCTTTTTGTTGTTAAATAAGTCAGATTATTTGTTTTACCTGAGGTCCCAAGTCCTGTAATATTCTATTTGCCTATCTGTGGTTTCACTTAACATTTTCTGTTACCACTATATTTCTTATAAATTATTTATTATAAATTATAAATTATTTAAGTCTTGATCAAATTTCAGTTTTTGGAAATAATATTTCATAGGTGTTTTGTGCATCATATAATATCCAGTTATCTCTGTTTTGTGATAGTGGCTGTTGGTGATCATTACATAAACAGTTATTTCCTTAGAAATTTACTTTTCTTTGTACTTGCATTGGATATTGAATTCTATTTGGTAGATTTTTTTAAGTACCTATTGAAAATCACTCCATTACTGTTGATGTTACCAATCAGTCTTAGCACTTCTCTGAAAATCACATTTGTTAGTAGAAGACTTTGTGGTGGTGTGGTCAAGACCAAGGGCCTCATGCATACCAAGCACTCATTCTATGTCCCCAGCCCTGTGGGTTTCTTTTTATTTATCCTTTCAAAGTTTTTTGGGGCCATAGTTTGTCTATAGTTTGATATCTTTTATCAGTTCTGAGAAATTCTCCATCATAACTTCCAGTATTTCATCTGATCCATTCTTTGTCTTTATTCACATTATACTTTCTTGCTTTGTTCTTTATATCTCTTGTTTCCCATTCTTTGGTCTTGGAATTTTAATCTGGGATAGATTCTTTTAGTCTATCTTTCAGTTAACTAATTCTCACTAAAGTATCGAATTTTTTGGAAACCCCATTCATTGAGATGTTAATTTTGATTATTGTATTTTTCAGAATTTTAGTTTACATTTCTTTGAAATTTGGGGTGCTTTTCTCCTTTCTTTTTAAGTAATTACCTGTTCTCTACTGAAATTTTTTATCTGATTTATCATAGTACATAAACTCAAGTATTTAGTACATAGTATATAAACATAGTATTTAACGTAGTATATAAGCTCAAAAAAGCTAAGCCTTATCATCTTAATATTTGGCATCCTACTGATTTGTTCCTGTTGATTTTTTGTTTATGCTCATTTCGTTAATATACCTGGTGATTTTATGAATATAAATTAAGGTGTCTGTACAAAATCTAGCATCAGAGATTAAAAGGATCCTGTTTACAGTTCCTATGAATGCTTGTCTACTTCTGGTTCCTCTATTTTTGTACAGTATTACATTTTGGATGTAAGAGGGGGATGTGTTTTCCCATCGAACTGAAAGATTTTTTTTTTTTCCCACCAATGAGATTGTGAAAAGTTCTGCTCCACTTCCCAACTTTTTACCTGCCTCTTCTAGCTGCTCCCATTCCTGATTCATTTCTTGGGATATCCTTCTTTTGCATTTTGTACTACTGTTTCTTAATGGCTCATTCATTCTTTGATGTATTTCAGTCATTTCCCATCTTCTGATTTTCTAGGTTTTGTTTTTTTTTTTGCAGGTGTTTATGCTGCTGAGCTAAAACCCCGGCCCTGATTTTCTAGTTTTTATCAGTAGCCAGTTTTGTTATACTCGTATTCTCTATTACTGGAAATGTAAATGCTTTTTCTTGCTCTTAAACTTAACCATTAGGATAATAATATTTCTTCCTGTACTTTTCTTTTTAAAGATGCTCTCTACCTATTATTCTTTTAGTAGAAGATGAATATAAAAGTACAGTTTAAGTACAGAAAACTAGCACAGTGGTATAAGAGTCTGAATAGCTACTTTTTAAAAAAAAATTTTGTTTTGAGACAGGGTTTTGCTGTACAGTTTAGGGTAGCCTCGAACTCAGCTTTGTAGCCCAAGCTGTCCTGAAACTCATGGTCTCCTGCTTCAGCCTCCTGAATGCTGGGATTACAAGCATGCACTACCAGGCCTGGCACTATTAATATTTTTTGTTAGAGTACTTCTTTTGGTGGGAGTTGCATTGGCAAATAGTTTGGAGATGAGCTAAGTTTGGATATTCTGAGTTTGAGGTGATTTAGATATCTTAGTTATGCTTAGGAAAGTTACATATTGAACAAATGTTTTTGGGCAAGAACAGTGCGGAGATCTGGATTTGCCATTAGAAGCTGAAAATTGGACCTTTTAAAAATAAAAAGGACAATGGTGGGTATAGAATATTTTGCTATTAAGGATAGTGTATACGGAAAAGGCTAACAATTATGAGAAATGTAAAACTAAACATTTATAGGTCATGTTTCCATAGGATAATTTGCATTTTTAAAAAATTTTATATCTAATAATCTTGTTTTTTTAAGTTTAAAATGTTTTTTAGTATTAAATACACATTAATATTTAAGACCTAGTTACAAAATAAGTGGAGCCCCAAATGTAGGAATTTAGACTTCGTATTTAGTTTTGTGTAAATTATCATATATTATCATTAATCTCATCTTTCACATATGCATCATAATGTTAACGATGATTAAAACTATGTTAAGTATATTAAGGAAATACTAAATACAAATGACTTATGGTAAATCAGTGTATATGGCAGGGAGAGGGGAGACAAGAATAAAAATACTCTTATACTTCCTGTTCATATATCCATTGGTACCAGAGATAACAAATGTAGTGACTTCATCAGAAATTTTTTATGATATAAATTATTTAGTTTCTATACCAGACCAGTCTTTAAATGTGCTCAAAAGGCACTAAAAGATGGGCCATGAGTTAGTGACTCTACTTACTGATTATTAACATATAATTTGAAGTATATTTTTGTTTTTGCATTTTTAATTATATTTTGATAATTTTTCTGTGTTTTTGGTCATAAATAAGTGATACTAAAATATGGAAATTTGATTCAACAGAGCAACAATAGAAGAGGCATATTCCAGATCAATGACAAAACTAGCAAAATCTGCAAGCAACTATTCACAAGTTGGGTGAGTTAGTTTCTTCTTCTTTTTCTGTGTTCTTCTGGGCAAAGTTCTTGAACGTGTTAAATTTCTATCATGAATCTAATAGTTTATAAGTATAGTGACATACTGTTGTACAGGGTCTTGGTATGCAGTTCAGGCTGGCCTTGAGCTCACTTTGTAGCCCAGGCTGGCCTGGAACTCACAGCAATACTCCTGTCAGTGTGTTGGAGTATGTTAGTGTATATGTCAGTATTTACTGGTAGCTGAATTCTGTACGTATTTAAAAGGTATCCATTTTAATATGGGTATATTCTTGACTTTCTGTGAATGATAATTGAAAGATAATAAAACTTTTCTGTGATCATTCAATAGTATAAATTTGAGATTATTAAGTATGTTTATGCAAATTTGTTTTCTGTAAATTTATTTGAATTCTTTTGTAGCTTAACAGTGAACTTTAAAAACTTAAACTGCCCTAAAATAATTAAAATCCATTAAATATCTCCTATCATTTTATTAACTCATTAAATCTTTTCAAAATTTGTATTGAAGAAATGTATTTTTGAAAAATGAAAATTAAGGACTGTATTTAAAATGAAAATGTGCTCATAATTATATAAATCTGAACCAAAATAACTGGTAGGAATGGTTAATTATCTAAAAATTGAGACAAAGTTATAATTTTAGCTAAGTTGAAATAATTAGTCTTAACAAGATTTTTTTCAGTCATTATAAAAGATTTTTTTATGTCTAGGCTTCTGATAAGTTTGTGAATCCTCTGAAATTTCATGTATAAGTTTGCAGATTATATTTGCAGTGATGAAGTTCAATACAAGTTATCAGATTCATAGATGAATTTGTGACTTTGTCAAAAGAGGTTGAGTGTGATTGTTTTATATATATGTTCTGTAGTGTTGGTTGCATGAGTTTTACTTCCTACTCTGTGGGCTAGACGGATGGTTGGAATCTTAGTTCCCCCTCAGTGTAGTGGTCCTGTGCTTAAGTGTGTACCAACAGCCCACAAAATGTAAAGCCCTCTTGCAACTTTGTACACAGGCTGGAAAGGCTGGGAGCTACTGCCTGTTTCACATCAAGAGTGGGTGCTGTGGCTTGTAACTCTTTCAGATTTTTTTTCCTCATTTGTCCTCCACTTAACTTCCATTTCTCCCTTTGCTATAACTGTATTCTTTTTTTCCTGTTTCTACTTTCACTTTTTTGGACACATTCTCATTTTTAAAGTCCCTGTATTGATATGCCTCTTCTAAAGCATAACTTCTTCCTTGCTGATCATATTAGAGAAGCCAAAATATAACTGGAGTAATAAAAGCTAGCTTTTGATTTTATTATGTAAGATACTACCTTATTGTTAGTTTCATATGGTTGGTTAAGGAAACATGGATTGACTTCAACTATTTACTAATATTCATGTGTTTTGAATGTGTGCTTTTCATAAATAATAAGTAGTACTTTGTGTTGTTATTCAAGATCATAAATATTTTTTTGTTTACTTTTAGGTATTTTTGCAAGGAAGTTGGATTTTATGTTTGGTTGCATTTAAATATACTTTGAATATTTCAGTTTTCTTTCTTAACTACTTATTAATGTATATGATATGTTGCTTGACCAGAAAAAAATTGGGTATGTCAAACTTTTAAAAGATGAATCCATTTTTAAAAAATAGATTTTATGAAAGAATCTGTTCATGAAGTAAAAGGGACACTCCATCTTACCTGCTTTGTGAAATCTATACTATTATTTGTCAGATTTACACGAGGGAAAGTATGTATTTTGGTACATTAATGAAATTTTCTATCTAAGCACTGATTAGATTTTAAAGTATGTCATGAGATCTAAGCAGAATAGACATATGCTAAGGATTGCAATTAATGTCTTTGAACTTCATTATTGCATGTGATTGCTGCCAGTTAACTTTTCTAATAGTTAAGAAATGAAATAGTTTGGCACAGAGCACATACTAAAATAAATAATCACAGAATCTGTTCCCTTAGTGATGATTGCTGCTGTTGGTTTTCTCTTAGAAATTTTATTGTAATGCCCCCTTGAAAATAAGTACAGTTCTTGAACAAAGCATGAATTATCTTTACATCATTTCCATTGACTAAACTGATTTACACTAAGCACTGCTAACCTAAGTATTACTCAAAATACGATACTGTAGTAATTCTTGAATACACTTGAGCCTGCTGAACATTTTAAATCCTTAATATTGGGGAAAAGTGGTAGAAAACTTGACACATCCCATACCTTGTAGTAGAAAGGAGACTCATAGATTGTTGAAGAACATAGGAGATAAAATTATAATGCTTTTAAGATTTCAAGTAACTGCTCTAAAATAATTCTTACACAATGTTAAACACACACAATCATGTATAAAATTTTGACTTTTACTGGTTTCAGTTGAGAGAAATTCTTATTATTTTGTGGTGGTACTTGCTTTGTGCATGCTAGGCAAGTACTTGGTCCCACTGAGCTACATTCCCAATCCCAGAGAAACTTTAAAGCATCTTAACCAGAGTACTAGTGTTAAGTTGGAGTTTGCTAATAGTTTTTAATAATAGACTGATAGGTATCTGATACAAGTCTAACCAAAATCAGCTCAGAAAACAATATGATAGAAGTGGCTATGGAGGCCTGTGACATGAAAATGATCCAATTTTGTGTACCTGTGATCTCCACTAATCGTAGAGTAAAAAACAAAACAAAAAGACAAGGAAGTTCAGTCATGTTATTACTTGTTTTGTGTGTGTGTGATACTAGCAGTTGACCCTAGGGCAGTGATGGGGAACCTTTTAAGTTACCAAGTATCTAAATTGCAGCTCAAAATTCACATATTTATGACAGAATGCCAGCACTGCAGTTTAACCTGAGGTTTTAAATTAGGAAAAAGAAAAACTTATCTGATGCTCAGCCTTTGGGGTGACTTGGCTTGTGTGCTGACAGAGAGAGTTCTGTGTGCCCATTGTGGTACATGTGTCATAGGTTTTCCTACCATTAACTTAGAGCCTTTACTTAGGACCTAACTTATATCTCCATCCATTTTTTTAAAAAAAATGTTAAGATAGAGTCTCCTTGGGTTTCTCCAGCAGGACTAGAACTTACACTCTTTCAGCCTCAGCCTTCCAGAAGGATGGTATTAAAAGTGTGCACCATTGTGCCTGCCTCACTTTATTTAAATTTAATATTTTGCCCAAATAAAATTGCTGAATATAGCATTATAGTTTTATTGGCTCCATCTTAGAACTTTAAACTTTTGATTTTCTTTCAGTAAGTGATTCCCATGTTCTTGTTTTCACTTAGAACATTTGCACCAGTATGGGATGTGTTCAAAACTTCTACGGAAAAATTAGCAAATTGTCACTTGGATCTTGTTAGGAAATTACAGGAATTAATAAAGGAAGTTCAAAAGTATGGAGAAGAGCAAGTAAAGTCTCATAAAAAGGTATCTTTTTTTCTTGTTAAAGGATTGGTTGGTCAGTCATTTTTACACTTCAGTCATTTTGATGAATCATTTCATACCAAACAGACTAAAGAAGAAGTTGCAGGAACTCTGGAAGCTGTCCAAACCATTCAGAATATAACTCAGGCTCTCCAGAAATCCAAGGAAAATTACAATGCCAAGTGTGTAGAACAGGAGCGTCTGAAAAAAGAAGGAGCGACACAAAGAGAAATAGAAAAGGTAATTACAGTAAAAATACCACCTCTGTGATTTTGTAGGTATTTAATATGCAAGAGTGCATTTATTCTTTTGGCAATCAAAAGTGATCTCATTTTAAAGATAATGACACTGCATTTTACAATGCTTGTGACTTACAGGAATAAATCTTTTAAATATATTCTCTATGGTAAACAGCAAATATGAAATTTTTTATTTCAATGATATATACAAGATATTTTTATTTACTCTATAATTTTTTTGGGGGGCTGAGGATTTTACCAGGGTCTTTTGCATGCTAGACAAATGTTCTACCACTAAGCTGCATTCTCAGCCCCTGCAAGATGTTTTTTATGGAAAAATAAATGGTAATATTGGTTGGTATGAGTTTTAATGAGGTAAAAATTTTTGAAGCAGTATTTTAGTATATTTAGAAAAATATAGAAACTTGAAGATAAACTTTACATGTATGTTGTAGATGATTGATTGCTGACTATGAACACATTTATGTTACATTGTGATGAAGAACAGACCTTTTCTTCCATTCACATTTTAATTGAAAGTAGTTGTTTTTTCCCCTTCAAAAATACTGTTTTTTGCTGTAGAATAGTATATTCCATTTAGGAATAAGCCATTGGGAGTGATAATTTTGAAAGCTTTATACAGTATTTAAACCATTGGTGAAAAAAGAAGAAATTATATTGATAGTGTGATTATGACTGTAAAATTATATATACAATGGGCAAAAACTAGGAAAGTCAGCAGGGAATGGAATTTGGTATACTGTATTTCCTTTAATGTTTGTATATTAAGCAGAAATTGGGAGTGGAAGGGAAAAGAAGAGGTACAGTTAAGTTCATGAAAAACTCTTTGTTTCAAACCCAGTGCTTGTGAGTAAAACATAAAAAGAGAAAACAAAATTAACAGGGTTCACAGTGAAGATTATTATTTCTGTGGTCCAGACATTCAAAATGACATGTAAAGACTGATTATATAAGCATGTGTAAGTCCTAAGGTAGGCAGTAAAATTTGATGTGGTGGTGCATAAAGGAGCAGATGTTCCCCTTAGTTATTTTTTGTTTATTTGTTTTGTTTTGTTTTTTTGAGGCTAGTGTGGAACTCATGACCCTCCTGCCTTAGCCTCCCAAGTACTAGAATTACAAATGTATGCCAGATACTCCTTTTGAGCAGAGGCACAAAGAGCCTGGCTCATTCCGTGGGTAAAAAACGAGGACTAGACTGCTGACTAGATTAAAACCTTGTTGGGAGGTTGAGGATTTAGAGAAACAAGGTATAAAAATATAATCCTGAGGCAGAAACAAGCCAGGGAACCAATACGACTATTTTGCCCATGTCCGCAGTATTACAGGAAGTAATTAAAAACTTTGCTTCTAGGACTGAGACTAAATTGGGTCTTTGGAGGGCTGGCAGGAGATATCCTGAGAACTGCTAGATAGGGATGGAAAAGCATAAAGGATAAAGCATAACAATTTAAGGAGGTGCTCTTTACATTATAGTAGATGCTGTGCAGACAGGAGAGGGGGCAAAAAGAAAAAAAAAAAAGAATCAAAGACCTTCCTAAAAGCACATCTAAGAGACCTAATGCTGAAACAACCAGCCAATAAATTTAATAATTGGAATATGGGAAGAAATTGAGGTATTGCTTTTAAGTATGATTGTATCACTGAAGAATAAAAGAACATGCTGGATGCGGCACTGCATACCTGTAATCCCATCAGGCTGAGGCAGGAAGATCACTGTGAGTTCAAGGCCACCATAGACTTGACTACACAAGGGTTCAAGGCCAGCCTGAGATATGTAGCAAGACCATGTCTTAGAAAGAGAGGGAAAGGGAGAGAGTTAATAATTTACTGTTGCACACTATGTATAATACTTCTTTCCTACAAGGGATATTTCTTGTTTGCAAAATATATAGATATAGTTCCTAATTACTTTCTAAAATTGCTTCTGCATCCTTTTATATGATATCCCTAGTTTTCTTTAAATTTGATATTGTCATTGTTAAAACAGCTTGTAAATCAACAAATTCTTTTTACATTTTTATTAATTTTTAAAATTTTATGTTTTAGTAAGTGCTTTTTGAGTTAGTTTTCCAGGATGCTTCTTTAAAGTTGGTATGTAATTCCCATAAATTTTGGCATATTGGTGTTACATTTCAAGAGTGAAAGCTACTATGAAAAAAAATAGAATTTAAAGCCCCTTCTCTCTTTCTTCAAATAAAGATAAGTGAAAATTTACAGTTTCCTGGTAACAGAGAGTCCCTGTTTACAACTTTGAGGTGACAATTTGGTGGTTATTAAGTTTGTATCCAGTAAGTTTGTATGCTGAGGTGAATAACTAGACTAAGATTCATGGTGAGAATAGTGTAGGAAGAAAAAAAGTCACAAAAATTCGTTGGTGTAAAAATATTAAGTTATTATTTTTACCTTTCTTAATTCAAGAATGACTTGAGTAGTGAAACTATTTGTGTGTGTGTGTGTGTGATACTGGGAATCGAACTCATGACCTCATGCTTGCCAGGGCAGGTGCTTATGCCGCTAACCTAAATCCCCAGCTCCAAGTAGTGAAACTGTTAACAATTCTAGAGACTATCTGAGTATAATAAGAAATAAGATTTTTTTTTCTCTCACACATTCCTATGTAATGTGATGTACAGTGTTGTGAAATAATTACTTTGTTTATAGCCTAGAAGTGCAGGTCTTCTAGATGTTTCTTCAGAAATTCATATTTTATTTCTTTTAGTTTATAAAGTTCTAGTCAAACATAGTAGCGCAGGCCTGTGATCCCAGCACTCAGGAGCTGAGGCAGATACTAGCCTGAACTACATTGGGATACCTTGTTTCAAAAGCAACAAAAAATTTACATGTCAACAAAAAGCTATTATCCATAATACACCATATGTATTTATTTGGGAAAACTCATTATAGAAAGATACTTGATTTTTTTTCAGCTTTAAGTTTATTTGAGCTGTATGTTTAGAATAGATTCTTGCCTTACAAAGAGAGATCGTAAGAAAGATTTCATGAAATGAATTACTTCTAAAGCATAGATAGTACAGGTTTTTTTTTTTAACTTTTCATTTGGATTCTCCTTGCAAATTATATATGGCTCCAGGAATGATCACAACTTGTACTCTTCATGAGTAGGTGACCCTTAAATTATTAAGCAGTAATAGGCAGCAGAGAAAATGAATGGGATGAGGAATACTCAAGGGATTACTAGTGTAGCTATTATTTTTGCTAGATTATCACTAAAAATTACCCTGTGGGGGTTGGGCATGCTGGCGCATGCCTGGAGGCTGAGGCAAGAGGATTGCCTCTTATATAGTAAGTTTAGGGCCAGCCCAAACTGCATAGTAAGACCTTGTATCCAAAAAAATTTTACTCTATGTATTGTAGATTATTGATTGCTTTTGTACAATCTGAAAATGTAGGTAGTTTTAAGAAACATATGAAATCTTTCTTGCATCAGGAAAATCCAAAAGAAAATCCATATAATATGTTTTTTATAATTGTTTCTAAAATAAATTCTAGCGAACGTGATTGTCTGTGTTTCCTGGGAAGGTGCTTATTAGTAAACTCTAACCATCTCATTTAATTGTGGTTGAACAGGAATAGGATGTTAGAGAAAGAATAGTAACAGTGGTATAAAATAATGTGAAATAGCTAGACAGAAAAATAATTACAATGATAATTTAAAAGAAATCTACAGAAACAAAGGAGAAAATTGTTACAGGTTTTAGTCACTTTGAGAGAAAGTGACAACTGGATAACTCAATGAAAATCAGTAGCTCCTATATCTTTATATAATAGCAAAATTTAATGATGCATGTTTTTTATATTCCTTGTTAGAAAACAGCAAAAATAGATGATATTGTTTGATTTGTAAATTTAACTAATCAAGGATTTTATCTAAGGATTTCATCATTACTATAGCTTTAAAAAATAGATGGTATTCCTAATTTTAAAAAAATTTGTATAGATATGTATATATAACACATCTTAATTCTTTTTACTTCCTCTTTCCTCCCCTTCAAATTTTAAGAATGAGAGGACAATGTAAATCTCAAATATATGGTCAAATAGGTAATAAATGGTAGAAGTGAAATTTTGATTTCTCCTGGATCCAAGACTACTTTTACTTACACTGCATGGTTAAATAGCATTCTGTATTTTATTTTATTTTTGTCTTTTTGAGAAGGGTTTCGCTGTGCAGTTCAGGCTGACCTTGAATTCACTGTGTAGCCCAGGCTGGCCTCACTCACAGTGGTCCTCCTGCCTTAGCTTCCTTAGTGCTAGGATTACAAGCGTACACTACCATGTTCACCCTGGCATTATGTATTTAAGAAGATAGAAAAGTATATAACATACACATTTATATATTTTAGAGAAGTTACGAAGTTGACTATTTACACAGGAACACTATAAATTTACTTACCAATCTCAAGCCTCAGGCAATGTTCTGCTTTTAATTCTTGTTCTAAGATGCTTTGTAGGTGAAGATAATTGTATATGTATATGTATGCATGTGTGTGTATATATATATATATATCTCAACTGTACCCTGATTTATTAGTTTCCAGCTTTTCTTGGCTTTTTTTTCTCCTTAGCAATATTTTTAATCACCTAGTCATATTACCTCTTGTGTCCTCCACAACATGGTTTAAAACATTTTTCATTCTCATTAAGGTCCCAAGCCTACTTTTTCCTTTCGTAGATGTCCTGTTACCTCATAAAGAAAATGGAAATCTTCCTATCTAGAGATTCTTCAACTGGTCTGTCTTTGCTCCTTTGGTATAAACTCTTATTTATTCAAATTCTTTACTAACACCCTCGTTCTTCCTGTGTCTAAACTGAAGCAGTCCTTTGAAAACATGTTTCTTGATAGCCATGAGTCCTATCCTACAAGCTACACATCCTTTTTTTCTCTATGCAAATCTCTCTTCCTCGGAATTTATCATCTTTCATTGTTTTCTACCTGTTTATGGCTGTTCATGTGTAGGTTGATCTTTATGAAATCCTTTATGGAAAGTCCGCTCTATGATTTCCTTCAGATTCCTCATATTTAATGTAATATTACATTTTTATTGACTAAGTCTCTTTGATAAAACTAGAGCTGTAATATTGCAGTAAGAATTTAAAAAATTTTTTTGCCTAAAAAATAGGCAAAGATTGATCAAGAACAAGTTTTATTGGGTTGGTGAAACATAATGGAAACTAGAAAACACCAAATACTTAACTTTTAAGCTAGATATGTGGACTTTAATCAAACATTAAATGGAGTATGTGTATGTTTGAAGTAGGGAAGAAGAAAGACTCATCAGTATAGTGTGTCAGACATGTTCTCATGGCATTGTCACATTTTTGTATATTGAATTTATTTTCAGTGTGTTAATATGCTTAGTAGCACTGTGCCATTATGTGGTTATATAATTTTACTCTGCGTAATAAAAATCAGTATTTTAATTTCTCACAGTATGTTTCATCAGACAGAAAGAGGAGTCATTAATTTCTGAGTTATATGTGGGTACAACAAAAACATGATTAAGGCAGGCTTGACCCCAGGTGTTAAAGTGAGTTGTGTGTCATGTTGAACACCTAAAGTATATTTTGTTATTTCGCATTAACTTATATAGAGAAAAAAGGTTAATGTGCAGTTAAAAAATGTTTTTTTTCTGTTGCAGGCAGCTGTTAAATCTAAAAAAGCTACAGATACCTATAAACTCTATGTGGAAAGATATGCATTAGCAAAAGCCGATTTTGAACAGAAAATGACAGAAACAGCTCAGGTTGGTTTTTTGTTTTTTGTGTATTTTTTTGGCTTTTTGAGACAGGGTCTCGCTATGCAGTTCAAGCTGGCCTTGGGCTCACTTTGTAGCCCAAACTGGTCTTGAACTTACAAATGATTCTCCTGCCTCAGCCTCCCAAATGCTGGGATTACTGGAGTGCGCCACCACCCCCGGCTCAGGTTGGTATTTTTAATGCGGTAGATTGAAATCAGAATACTTAACATTACTGTGTACTAATGAAACAGAACTTTTCTCTTACATAATTTTTTAGTATTAGAAATTTTAAGACATAATTTTGATGTTCTAAAAATGCTATTTAAAAATTTGCATCTTGTTTGTGAGATTGAAGACCAAGATTCAATAATGGTAATGTCATAAGGAATTATTCAGATAGATCAGAAGAGAATGTTGAAAGATAAATGAGGAAAATGAAGGCATTGGTAGATGATAAATAAATGTTGTTAGACTTGTGTGTTGATTTTAAGATTTATTTTTGCCTGAGAAGAAAACTGGGAGTGACTCAGTGTTAACTTTGTACCAGTAAGTAAAATAATGTAAAAACCCTGTTCTCGTAGAACTTTATATTTTACGAGGGAAAGATAGATGATAAAAATGCTTTTGGGGCTGGGGATTTAGCTCAGCAGCGTAAGTGCCTGCTTTTCAAGTGCATGGTCGTGAGTTCGATCCCCGGTACCGATTAAAAAAAAAAAAAGATGCCTAAAAATGCTTTTCTGTAAGGTTGGGATAATTTATATCTAATTTGAAGTTTTTAGAGTTCTAGTTCAAGACTTAAAGTATGTGCCTAACATTTCTACTCCCATCCTTTTTACCCTTTTTTAAAAATTTTTTCTTCCTTAGCAGCTATTATTATCCAAGATACCAGTAAATTCATTTTTTTGTTATTAGGGCAGATTGGGTATGCTAAGTTGACAAATACCCTAAAAAATCTCAGTAGCTTGCAGCATCAAAGATTTCTTTCTCAACACTGTGTGTTCATCATGGTGGGCTGCAACTGTGGTACAGAACTTAATAGTTGGAATCTCTTTGTGTCTTCGGGGCTATAAATAGAGAAGCTCACTGCCTCTTTTATGCACATTCTTGCCTCTTATTCTCCACCAAAATGTATATGTGTATTTTTGGGGGGAGAGGGAGTACCAGGAGTTGAACTTACAACCTTATACTTGCCAGGCAGCAAAATTTATGTTTTATTGAGAGCAGGGATTGATTTGTTTGCTGCCATAGCCTCAGTTTTTAGGATAGTTTTCAGCTTTGGTGGGCATTCAGTAAGTATGAAAGACAAACTTTATAAATCTGATATTTTGAATTCTAGTTCTTTGTTCTTTTCATATGAAGAAATAAATGACTTACATCTCAGAAACCAAAAGGCTTGCGTGCTTATATGTATGCAGGCATCCATCTGTACCTACAGATGGCATAGGCACTACGCTAGATGCTTGATACATTCAGTGTATATGTTAAGCAACACAACTCCTTGCTCTAGATAGAATTTAAAGTGTAGAGGACTGACATATATATTAAATACTTGCTTAAACATAAAAGTTACAAATTACTAAACATATACTAAAGGAAAAGACTATACTCCATAAGATAGAATACCCAGGGGTGACCTAACTTGTTAGGGAGCTGGAAGACTTTTTTGGTAGAGGTGACATTTAAAACTGAAATTTGAATAATGAGTGGGAGACTAAGGACAAGAATGTTCAAGCTTTGGGACCATGGATACAAAGGCCTACAGGGGTTAAGGAGACATAGTAAAACAATTATGGGGATATGGTGGGGAGAAATGAGAAATGAAAATGGTTGAAGAAATAAGAATAGATTTTAGCAAGGATTTAGGTTTTTCTTTAAAGAATGCTGAAGGCCACTGTAAGGTTTTAGGCAAAGATAAGACATGCATAATCTGATCTGCTTTTTAAAAGAAACTTGGCAGCCAGGCATGGTGGCATACTCCTATAATCCCAGCACTTGGGAGGCTGAGGCAGGAGGATCATTGCAAGTTCGAGATCAACCTGGGCTACAAAGTGAACTCAGAGCTAGCCTGAATGGCATAGCAAGACCCTGTCTCAAAAAGACAAAAAAAAAGAAAGAAAGAAACGTGACAATTTTGTGAAGAATAGATTATAGTAGGGTGAGTTGGGGGTTGAGTTTAGATAGATGAGAAGGGCCGTATGGTCATTTTGGAGGAGGAAAGAAGCAAATGTATTAGAAATGGCAGGGATTGGGTAAGTAGAGATGTGAGAGAGATAAAGTAACTTCTAAATTTTGACTTACAGGTTTATATGAATGGAGCGAAATGGGAAAGACTTGATAAACAGCTGTTAGTTTGATGAGTAGAAAAGGAATCAGATGTTCAGTTTTGAGCATATTAATTTTGAGATGTTTATGAGGTACCTATAGAAAAATACTAAGTAGGCAGAATGTATTTATTCATAGTCGCTTACAATTCTGAATCTCCAAAGTTCTGAAAACTGATTTTTTTCTCTAACTCATTAGGTAATAAAACCGACCTGAAATAATATGAAACAGTTTATAGTCCTTCTGTTGCTTACGCTGAACATACATTTTCCTTTAAAAGTGTTAGTGTTGGATAAATACGTTTAATAAACAGGTGCTATTGCCTTTCTTGCTGATAGTATTATAAAATATATACTTTTTAAAATAATGTGCATCTTTATTTTAAACACTGAAAAAATTTTATATTTGGAAGCACGACTGGTCTCAAAGATTTTGAATAAAGGATTATGAGACTATTAAAATAGAGTGTTGTCTTAGTTGCTTTCCTCATCATTAGGACAAAATATCCAACACCCAAAGGAGGAGAAGAACTAGAATTCAAAATATTCAGCACTTAAAGGAGGAGAGCTTTACTAATCCAGTCTTCTTCCAAAAACCCTGCCTCTGAGCACATGACACTTGGGGGACATCCAAATATAAACCGTAACAAATGTCAGTACATAAAGCCATGATGACTTTGCCTTTTGTTAGTGTGTGGGAGAGAAAGGACTTTAGTACTAATATCTGAGAGACTTATAACTGACAGTGTAGAGGAAAAGATGCTGACATGCGAATAGATGCCAAATTAAAAAACTGGCGAGTGTCATGTCTTGGCAGCTATGAAAAGATAATGCTTCAAGAAAGGGTTAATGTCAAAAGAGGTTCCAATTCTACTGAGAAAGAAAGTTTAAATTCTTGTAGCAGATGAGGTCATTGAAGATTTCACTAGTATTGTTGGCCTTTTAAATCCTTGGGAACACTCATTGAAAAATATTTTGAAAAATAACAGATTTATCGAGCTAAAATTCATATACCACACAATCTAGAAACTTCTAAAGATTCAGTACATTTTTGCACATTGACAGAGTTGTACAGCCGTGACCACAATCAAATTTAGATTATTTTTGTTACCTGGAAACAAAATACTCTACCTACTCTCTGTCATGTCCCAACCCCTCCCCTCCAAATGTGGATGACCACTGAGCTACTCTCTATCTTCATAGCTTTTCCTGTTAAGGAGCACTTATTTATAAGGCAATAATTGCTGATTTGTTATTTTCTTATTTTTTTTATTTGCACATTTTTACTGATCAAAGTGTTTGCCCTGAAATTGTTAGAAAAATCAAAATTAGAGTTTGCTAGGATCAAGGCTTTTTGTTTTGTTGATATTTTAGAAAACTTTTCAATGGACATCTTTTTGTCGTCTTGTTTTTTTTCAAAGTAGCATTTTACTTTTTAATTCTGCTGTGTCAAAGTGAAAATACTAGTTTATCTGAATAGATGTAGGACTTATGAAAAATAGTGTTATTCATTGTTCATGTGTTAACTTGTTTTCTTGTGTTTTTAATTGGATTGCCTTTCTATTTCTCTGTCTCTCTCCCTCTTATCTCCTATACACACACAACTGCCCAGCAGGAACTATTGTTTCTTCATTAGAAAATAGGCTATCTTTTTTTAAAGAGTAGATTTTAATTCTGTTTATGTAGAAATCAAAAGAATCCTTTTGCTTCTCCACTTTCATTGTTTTTCAGGTCACACATGCTACCCTATCCCAGTGGGGAAGAACCTCACAGTATAGTGAGGATCAGAGTTGGGTGGTAGGTCCTGTATTTGCTAGTGAGAAAGAAATTGAGACCCTGGGGTGAGAGAAGTTTGAATTTACTTAGGGTATTTATGAGTTTAAGTTTTTAATTTGAGTTGAAAATAAGAAGAGCTGAAATTGTAGCTGTTCTTTATGCTTACACTTTTTACCACTATTAGTTCATAGGGTACCTGAAAAAATTTGGAACATGATGAGACTTGACTGCTTTGTCAGATAAGGAGTTTTAGAATTACTTTTATATGTCTTTAGTAGCTAACAGAATTTTTCTTTTAAAAACAATAATGATATATGTGAACACGGTAAATTTAACGTTACAAGGAGGAAAATTCTATCTGATTAGTGTAGGGAAGTACATTTATACTTAAACATTTGAGAGACAAGCTGCTTATTTTTCCATTGCTGAATTACTGAGTTTAATAGTTGCTGATTTTGAGGAATTATGGTAGTAATGCCCCCTTCTGCACAGAAACTGTCACAATTTCAATTGTGTCTAAATTACACTATGAATTTTATATAGATTCATGCTGCAAGATATTTTCCAATAACTTACCATTTTGTACCTGTTTTAAAAGAAAATACCATTTCTCCCCCCCCAAAAGAAAAAAAAGGAAATACTGTTTCCTTATAGGTAATGATCATCTATATGAAATTAATAGAATTATGACCCAGTTTTACTGTATTCAATTCTGTCTTGAAGTATCTTGTTCATTAAATTGTTGTAATTTACATTGAGAATCATTTCTTACAATATGAACTTAGATGAATCAACCTGCTGAATATTCTTCAATTCTAAATATTCTTCAGTTGAGTAAATCCAGATCTTAAAATACTGATACTTTCTTTGACTTGCTAAACATTAATCACTGTGACAAGCACTCTGTTTTAACTTGGAATAAAATTGATTTTAAGTTTTTGGACTATTCTTATGTTACTACCCAAAGTGTAATTTTGCCATTACTGATTTTTTTAGGAGTTCATGCCACTTACACACATGTAGATATCATTTGGCTTGGTGATTGTTGATTGTGTAACTTACTACTAAAGAAATGTGGACATTAAATAGGAAGCGAGAGAAATTACTTTAATAAGTGAACTGGAAAAAATAGAATGAGGTAGATTCCTTACAACTGATTTAATTTGGCAAAAATGCAAAAAAAAAAAAAAAGGATAATCAGGTTTGTGCAGTAGAAATGATAAATGTATTTTGTTTTAAACTGGGTAGCTCAGCATTTCCCAGGTCCTGTTTTGAGTATTATTGTTCTGTGAGATAGTAATGTTTAGGGGAAAAGAAAAACAAAAAAAGGTTATGAGGTCAAAGAAATTTAGAAAATGCTAGACGAAGCAAAGTGAAACAAGTTTTGTTATTTCAGTATTTTTGAATTTCCAGTAACTTGGAAATTTTTTTGAATATTCAGCTGCCTTTTCCCCTACAGTAGTAGAAGATCTTATGTTTTGTTTCAAACATTTTGAAGTCCCTAGTAATCTGATGTATCCTTACTTTCCATTGAAAACTGCTACAATAGTGTGTAGGTTCTCCCAAATTTCTTTGAACATAGATTACCTCTTTTGTGGATTGTATTAACATTTCAGGGTTCAAAAGTCATTTTAGAATGTTTAGCAGACTATGAAGTTTTCAGAAGCTAATTGTTTTTCAGTTTTGGAAATTCTTTGGCTTTGGGATCTCCTTTCTCATCTGGATTGCTTTCTTTTCATTCTTTAATCATGATTATTTAACATATATCTTCACATTCTAAAAAATGTTCAAAGTTCCTTGGCCAGTGCCAAAACAATACTACAATGAAAATTTAACTTTTCTCAGTTGCTAGACCTATTTGTTTAAATCTTATGGTAATTTGTTTAATTTGGTTATCTGTATTGAAGAACTTTCTAAAATTTTTTGGCTACAGAATGTATATTTGTATTTATTTGTAGTAGGTATATAATTTTATATATTTGCTACCCAGAAATTTCAAGATATTGAAGAAACTCATCTCATTCACATAAAGGAAATTATAGGATCCTTGTCAAACGCAGTGAAGGAAATACATTTACAGATTGGACAGGTAAGTTTTTTTACTTTACACTGAATTGATTCATGAAAATTTTATATTGAATCACTCTGCCTAAAATCCATAAGTACGGTTCTGAATTGTTTCAGTTAAACAATGTATGTACATGTATTCTTTGATGGCCACCATGCATGAAAATTCAAATTGCTTTTTAAAATTAACCATGTTCTGTCCATTTTACATTGCAATTTTAAATTACCATTTTCGAATATTTCTTCAAGTTTTGCTGTTTTTAAGTTTAGGACAGCAACTTTAATAAGAGAGCTTAACTTGGTGAAATGTATTAGAAATTTAAAAGAACTTTATGATAGTTTGGGTGCATTGAAATTCAGTACAAAAAGGTGAATTCTAGTTTAAAAATCTAAAAGTATTTTCATTGTTTGTATAAGTTTTAATTATTGTAAGAATTTTGTTTCTAAAACACTGAGATGAGTACAAGAGACTGCTTTACTTCAAAGGCCATGAGGCCATATTTTAAAGGATAAAGGTAAGCAATGGTTGTTCCCTATGGACCTGATTACACTGTGAGGTAACAGCATGTCAACTATGGAAACTTCAAATACCCTTGCATCCAAAATTTTTAATTTTAATTTCTTTTTTCTGAAGTACAGTACAAGTATTTGTGGAAAATGTTATCTTTATTCTGGTTTAATAGGTTCAAGAAGAATTTATAAATAACATGGCTAATACTACAGTTGAAAGTTTGATACAGAAATTTGCTGAGTCAAAAAGCACTGGAAAGGAAAGACCTGGTAAGGTGATAAACTGCAAAGAAGCATTGTCAAATTTCCCATCTAATAACAAATATTTGCCTTTAAATGTCTGAAAAGGGTAGGTTTAACTTTATATCCTATATCTGAACCAAATGACATAATGGTCAGAGATAGTGTGCATTTTTAAATATTTTTATTGGCCAATTGTACTTGAGTAGTCACTGTTTATTTCAGTTGTCCACTTTTTGATTGGACTTTTGTTGGGGGGGGATCCTTTTTTTTTAAAGTTTTTTATATACTCTAGATATTAGTCTACTGTCTAGGAGTAGCTGACAAAGATTTTTCCCATTCTGTTAGTTGTTTGCTTTGGTTTGCAGAAACCTTTAATTTGGTGTAGTCTCATTTGTTGAGTTTCAGTGTTATTTCTTAGGCATTTGAGATCTGTTCAAAAAGTCTTTACCTATGCTTATATCTGTGTTATCTTGTAGCACATTGTTTCTATTTTAATATCTATACTCTGGTTTCTCTTTAGATTGTATATCTTTTACCTACTGTTTTAATATCCAGGTCTTTGATCTATTTTGATTTTATTTTTTTATATGATGATAGATGTGGGTCTAAATTCAGTCTTCTGCATATGTGTAACCAGTTTTCCTAGTACCATTTGTTAAAAAGTCTAACTTTCCTTCAGTGTATGATTTTAACCCCTTTGTCACAGAGAAGATAACTAAACTGCCTGTGCTTGTTTCTGCATCCTCTGTTCTGTTTCATTGATCCATATGTCTTTGTGCCAGTATCATTCTGTTTCCCATTTTTTTAAAAAAACATGTTTGAGGTGGGTGTGGTAGTGCACACCTGTAATCCCAGCACGTGGGAGGCTGAGGCAGGAGGATTGTTAAAAATTCAAGATCACCTGGGCCACAAAGTGAGCTCAGAGCCAGCATGAACTGTTTAGCGAGACTGTCTCAAAAAGATCCTCACCATTAAAAAAAAAAAAAACATGTTTGAGGTAGGTTGTCATTAAATTTCCCAGACTGGGCTCAGATGTGGAATCCTACTACTATAAAATTTTAATCCTCATTTCTCAGCCTCCCACAGTGCTGGGATTATTATAGGTATGTGCTACTGTGCTGACTAGAAATATACCCAATTTACCAAAACATGCCACTGATTTCTTTTAATATAGATGTCAGGGTTAATTAAAGATTTGTCATCTCAGAAATTTTGCTAACTCATTATGCAAGGATTGCTGAACTATTTTATTCATTTTGTTCTACAAATACATTCTCTATGAAAAAATGTAACACATTACCCACATATTTTATAAATTCTCTTCCTTGGGTTAGGTTTTTTAAGTTGCTGTATAGCAGAAATAATCCTTAAGCTAGCTGCCTGATTCTAAGTTCCAGATATATGGGTCATGTGTGTTTTGTTCCTTTTACAGTGAAGTAATGGTGTAATTACTGAGCCCTGAGTGTGCCATCATCTGTTATTGGGAATAATAGTAGAGCCGGCCTCTTGGGCTTATTGTGAGAGTTATAAGAGCTATTGGGACATTATTAAGTATTTAATAAATACTATTTTCAGAAGCCACTATGTTCCCTGATTAATAGATATACTAGGACATGTAGAAAATACCTATTATCTGAATGGTAAGAAGTAAGAGGGAGTCCAAGAGTGGTGATTCGTGCTTTCCTAGAGTCATTAAACCTAGTATTAGGTCCTATTCATTGATACTGTGACTGGTTTCAAAAAATGATCCTAAAACTTAACTTTTGAATAAAAGAGGTTTGTGTGAGCACAGTAGAAGCAATGAATTTTACTTGTCTGGTGAAGTTGAAGAGAAGGTACATAAAATTGAATTTTAAGATATATTCTAAACTTCATTTTTGTTAACATTTTATTTCTCTTGTTTTGTAAGGGCACCCTCTGGTGGATGAGTTCCTGTCTAAACTGGTCTTAGTTCTGTTCTTGTTTTACAAAACAAGAGACCCATTTCTTTCTTGAACTTTGTGCACTTAAAAGTTAACGCACATTTGATGCTGAAAAATGACTCTATTGTATGTTTTACTGCTGAGTGGTTTGAAGGTCTGATTAGTATTTGCATGACTGTTCCATCTGGTGACTTTTTATTGATTTCATTGGTTAAAAAGCCAACAAAATGATTAGATCTTATTGTACCACCGTGGATGCAAGCCACCTTATGGGACATCATGCATATACCACTTGTGGTTCAAGCTGGCGGAAATGTGTTCATCTTTAGTAAGTTACCTGTGGTAAGATACAACCTGTCACTTTTTCTTTGCAGTTTTTCTATGTAAGTCAAATCCATTGAGTACTAAAACTTTACCCTACTCATTAAGATATTATAGTAATTATACAGAGTCCACCAAAAATGTATATATACTTCAGGAAAAGAAAAATGGTATTGTTTTTCAACAGGTAGCTACCACTTTGAGCACCTCTTAATCTCATGATGTCTCAGTAAATTTAGTATTAAAATATTATACAGGTTTTTCTTCTCCTATTTTTATGCACTTTTTGGCAGACTTTGTATATGACAACTTTTTGTGATTGCCTGGTTCCTCTGGAATTTATAGTTACTATAAGTGGATGTTTAGAGTGTCCTGAAATAATCATGAAGAAACAGGTGTTTTTTAATTTTAAATATCCTTTTATGTTCTAGTGTTAGTACCCTAGTAGTCTTAGCCTAGCCATGTATTTCATTTGCTAAAAGATATTAAGATTCAGATTTTTAGTGTTTCCTATTTTGTAATCATTCTACCTTTCATACAACTTTAACAAAAGTTTAGCTAATTTCCGCTAAAAAGAGGTTATCGTGAACTCAGCATAATTACCCAAGTATCTCCTGCAGTCATGCCCTTGAGAGATAAAAGTTTCTGGAGGTGGAAATTGGAATGTCATTTTCTTGACGATTAACAGTGAACATCTTTTCATGTGTTTTCTGTTTGTATGTCTTTGGAGAAATCTTTTCTTAAGTCCTTCACTTTTTTTCTTCTTGAAGTTGTCCTGGAATCTCATCATGTTACCTGGACTAGTCTCATACTCCTAGGCTCAAGGGACCCCACCTTTCCCTTTAAAGTACTGGAACTCTGGATGCCATTGTGCCCAATTTGCCCTTTTAAAGACTGGATTCTCTTCTCATTGTTGAGTTCTAAGAGTTTATTCCAGTTACTAGATTCTCATCAGATAAATGATTTTGAAAGTATTTTCTACTATAATGTGAGTTGTCTTTCTTGAAATGTCCTTTGATGTGCAGATGGTTTCTGTTTGAAGAACTTCAGTTTATTTTTTTCTTTTATTGGCTGTGCTGTGTTTTCATAAACAGTTGTCAAATTGAGAGTTGTGAAAATTTACCCCTTTGCTTTAAGAATCATTTTTTTATTTAGGTCTTTCATTTACATTAATTACTGTATAAAGCAGAGGGAAGGCTCCAACTTCATTCTTTTGCATGTGAAAGTTCAGTTATCCCCGAGTCATTTGTTCAAATTATTCTTTTCCAGTTAAACTGTTACAACATCCTTGTTGAAAATTAGTTAACCATGGGTGTACAGGTTTATTTCTGAAATCTCAATCACAACCTTAAGTGATTGAGATACTATTTTGATTACTGAAAATTTTGCTTAGTTTTAAAATTGAATGATGTGAGTCATCTAAATTTTTCTTTTTCAAGATTGTTTTAGTTGTTTGCATTTCATTTATAAACAGTTTTCATATATCTATCAACATTATAGTAACAAATCTCAGATTTTGTGGTATAAGTCAGTATGAATTGGTTATCATGTGATGCTGTAGGTCAGAAGCTTGCCATAAGCAAAATTCAAGGAGTCCCCAAGACTAAATAGAGACTACAGAGGATAATCTATTTGTTTGTGTTTTTTTTTAGATTAGATAACTTTATTTATTAATATTAAGAAGAAAAGGTAAAACATTTTCACAATAAAATAATGAAAAAGTAACAATTGTTAATAAATTATACAACATTATCTTTAGTCACTCAAGTACAAAATATGGACATAAAAATTACTTCAATCAATATTAGCACAACCTTTCCTATTCAGTGAACTAAGTGACACTAATGGTATAACTAACTTGTACTTTTTTTCTTTTCCCTTCTATCCTTTCTCTTTTCTCCTATCTTAGTTTCTTCTTTTTATTAAACAGTTTCCTTCCATTTCACAGTGACTATTGTATATTTTGAACCTTATGGTTTCACATATGTCACTGTGGTGTGATGTTTTTCAATCATTCTGGGAAGATACACAGAAGGTGTATCTTGTTTGTGTTTTTTAGCTTCTAGAAGCTGTGCTCTGCACATTCTTAGGGTTATTCCTTTTCTTATCATCAGAGCTTGCAAACTAGCCAACTTCTTCTCACTTTGCATAACTTTGCTTCTTCTGTCTTCCACTTGAGTATCCTTGTAACCTCCCTATTTTAAGGCCTTTTGATTAATAACCTTAACTCCATATTCAGCCTTAATTTCCTGTTGCCATGTAACCTATCATAACATAAGTTTCTGGGGATGAGGGAGTAGACTTCTTTCTCTTTCTCTCTGTCTGTCTGTCTGTCTGTCTTTCTTTCTTTCTGGTATGGGGAATTGACCTCAGGACCTTGTGCTTGCCAGGCAGGTGCTGTGCCACTGGACTATATCTCTGGCCCACGATGTGGACTTCTTTGGGAGAGTGAGGACATTATTCTGCTTGGCACATTGAAGTGTGCTTTATAATATATGAAATATAGCCGTGGGAAGTATATAGTTTGATGCATTTTAGTAAATTTGTACAGTTGTGCACCCATCCGCAATACAATTTTAGAAACATTATCCACCATCCCAAAATTTTCCGTTGTTTGGTGCAGTCATTCCTACCACACAATCATCATTGATCTGCTTTTACTACTTTTTTTTTTTTACTTTTCTAGAATTTTTTTTTTTTTTTTTTTGAGACAAAGTCTCATTTATGTAGTTCAGTAGTTCAGGGTGGCTTTGAACTAACTATGTAGCCCAGGCTGGCCTTCAG